TTAGGTTTAGAAACATATTTTGTATATTTATCACCTTCAGATATTAATCTTATATCCACATGTTTTCTTACATTCATCATTGTTCTTCCAAAAACAGAATTATTCATTAATTTATAAAACTCTTTCTCAAAATTATTTTTTGCTTTCTTTCTTAAATTTGTATTTTTTTCAATATATACTCGCATCCAATCAGACTGATGAAAACTAATAACTTTATGAATTTTTCCTAATTTTAAACCCGCCTTCAAAGCTTGCTGTAAATTTAAATAATGACAAACATAATTCTTTTTATCATATAGTGTAGTTAATAATTTTGGTAACTTTTCACCATCAAATATGTTTTCTGGACAATATGGTAGATCATTATGTTTCTTATGAAGTTCTTCTGGATAAATTAAATCTACTTCAAAAAGGTAACCTGTTCCCTGTTTTTCCTTCATTTCTAAAATCCTATCCTCATCAAAAAATTTGGATTTTCCCATTTAAAACCACGTTTTGGTAAATATTTTGACATAGCATACCCATATAAGTTATTTGCGTCTAAATACTGTATATATACTGAATCTTTATTTTTATCAAATTTTTTACCCATATATTTATTATTTGCTTCACTATATCTATTTGAACACTGGGATAAACCACCCCGTTTAGCCCTTTCAAACATTAAAAGCATATCTACATCAGTAATTAATTCAATTTTTTGTTTTGTAGTTTTTAACATACAACTCCAAGCAAATCCGGGTGTAGTATAATACCAAGCTGGATCTAATCCATATGTATTTAACGAAGTCTCTCTAAAATATTCCATAACATCAGCTAATAAAAGTACATCTATAGTGTTGTATAACATATTAAATTCTTGCATATTTTTTATGTTGAAATACTTCCAAATTTCTTCAGCATAATGATATTCTCCATCGGTAATATTTTCACTGTTTAATGAATTATAAAAAGACTTTTTGGGAGGTAATTTTGTCTCTTTATATTTATCTAATGAAGACATATAATCGTATGGAAAAGCTAATTTTTTTGTTATTAATCTAAATAAATACTTTCTTTCCAATTCACTTAAATTATCAGGAACAGTTTTTTCAAACCATTTTTTTAAAACATTAAAATTACATAAATTCATATTATCAGCTAACTTAGACAAAGAACTAGGTTGGAACCTATAAGAATCTAGGAACCTAAGTTCAATATCAGAATATTGAGAATACCTTATTCTCTTAGAAAATGAAATATATTTTTCCTCGCTTGTGGGAATAAGATCTATATCACCGGTATCCAATCCTAATTCTTTAACTAATAAATGTGAATCATAACCTGAAAAATTATGAAAGAAAACAGGAATAAATCCTGGAACTTCAAAAGTTAAATTACAATATTTATGGGCAGGTCCCCTATATAGACCTGTTAAATGATCATGATCTCGAACTTTATAAAGTTTCTCTTTTATATAATCAACTATATTAATATCTTTCCATTTAAAGTCACTTGAAATATGGGCAGGTACGCTAATTAATTTTTCTTCACAAATATGACAAATTGTTGCATTTTCATACTCTTTTTTCTGTATCTCGGTTAACTCATTCATTTTCTTAACATTATTTAAATAATTTTTAGCTATATATATAGCATCTTCTCTTAATTTTTTATATAATACTTTTGGAGCATCTTCACCAAAATATTCAAAAGTTTTTCTTTCAAAATCACCATTGGCATATACAATAATATAAACAAAACTTATTGCAATATGTTTCTGAATTTTAACTGTACTACAATTTTTCTTTCTCTCATTTATCTGTTTTATAACACTTTCAAAATCTGCATAAATAACAAAAGGCACTTTCATTTTATGATTAAAATTTTTAAATTGAATAAGATTATTATATTCATTCGGCATTTTCAACCGTGATGTCTTATTTAATGCACAATAACTCCTATGATTTAACAATTTTTCTTCAGTTTGAAAACTATTTAAACACATTCTGCAAAGATATCTCTTTTTACAATTTTTTGTAATTTGACCCTTAACTAACCCCCATAAATTTTTTATTAAACAATAATGTGTATTATCACCGTCTTTCAAAAGTAATAAATCAATATGTACTTTTTTCTCATCTTTCGTTACATATAAGGGGTTTATATTATATTTCTCAACATGATGATAAACATTAATAGATAATCCACCTTCAATCAAATTTGTTTTATTAACACTGTTTAAAAAACTAGGAATCTTACTAACTTCCATTGGATACTCAATATCTATAAACATATAATTAAACAAATTTTCATATTTCTTATATTTTGTTACTCTTTGCGGATCTTTCTCGGCTGGATATAAATGAGCCAAAATTGACCATAAAAAACATTTATCATCATCTTCATTTTTTACATTTATAACTGCTTTTCTGTTAGCTATTTTTGCTGGAGTTGGTATATAAGAGCTACCCTTTATGGGAGCATATTTATTTATGGCTACATTGAGAGTGTTAATTGAAATTAACACCCATTGCGATCCTCTTAAACTATCTGAAACACGTTCATGTTCATATAATATTTTAGCTTTCATTTCTTTATATATTTCATCTAAATTTGACTCTGGAAAAATATCATAATTCGGTGTTTGCAAATATTTAACTGCTGATTCTACAACATCTATAATACCACCTTTTTCATAAGTACAAATAACACATAAATGAGCTTTTACAGACTTATGTTTAAATAACCATTTCTTAATAAGACCAAAAACAGATTTCTTTGTACTATCTATAAAATCAGGTATATTTTTAATTCCAGTTTTATTACCAATTTCAAATTGAGTATGTCTACTTTTAAAATTTTCTTCGTAAAATGTAGGCTTATAAATAGATTGTTCCTTGCTGGGTTGCTCTATTATATCTTCATGAAATTTAAATGGAAATCCTGTTAACCAATAATTTTTTTCTTCGTCAGTTAATTTAAAAATAATCTCTAATCTACTGTCATTATATGATGAATGCTTTATTTTTCCAATTAAAATACTATACAATCCTTCCAAACTCTGAGTAGCAATTTTCTTTCCATATTGTATGCAAAATGTATAGTTTCTTAAAAAATGTTCTATCTGTTTATCACTTTTATTTAAATATTTATTATGTGCTTGAAAAAACTTAAACCATTTTGAAACATCTATGTCTTTATTTTTTTTCTCAGTTTTTATAAATCTTATTGAAACCTGATTATCCATTTATTAATAAAGTTTTGACAAAGTTATTTTTTAAATAGAAATTTTTGTTTTTATTTAATAAGTAAATTTTTTAATAACAAAAATTATTCTTGAGGAGTGTTCTCTTTACTCATATTATCCATCCTTTTTGAGTGAGATTTAGTTAACAAATGCCTCTTATGGGCTCTCAAATGCATTACTTGACCACATTCACATGCTACCAATTCAGTGCTAACTTTGGTTTTCATACAACTTTTACACCATTTTTGGTTTTTACTAAATTCATTAACACTCTTGAATGTTTCACATTTTGAGCATAAATATACATCTCCTGCTTTCAAAGACTGCAATAATACCTCATCTTTATTTATCAACTCATAGATACGGATAATTTTATTATTTCGATTCATTTTTATATTTATTTATATACAAAATTTTTTAATTACATCATGCTACTAATTATGTTTTTGAGTTTAAGTTTGATAGCTAGTTTTTCAATATCTATAAAAAATTACCATTTCAATTCAATACAACATCGGCAACATTACAATCTGATACAACATCGGCAACATTTCAATCCAATACAACATCGGCAACATTTCAACCCAATACAACATCGACAACATTTCAATCCAATACAACATCTCAAAACTTAGATTAAATACCTATTGCTATTCGAAATTTTCTGTAAATAAAAGTGAATTGACGCTTAGTACAGAGAAAACTAGATAGAAACAGGTATACATGATAGCCAAGTGGTTTCTTTGCTATTTATTTGCAGTATATAAGCACTATATAAGTGTTTCGGTCTTGAGATCCTTTATGCTGAGCTGTAGGTGTTGATAAGCTGTTAATGTACTAGTTTACACTTGTCCACGGAATTTTTACATCAATTCAATTATTAAATTAAATCAATGAAATAATACTATTAAATTAAATTAATGAAATAAATTATGGCTGTAAAAATTGTATGGACAGGTGTTAACTGTGTTAGCCGTTTATAGGCATACTGCGTTAACAGTGTTAGCCGTTTATAGACATACTGCGAGTGACAAAAATTCCCGATAGTCTCCTACTATCGTTTTTTAAAACGTATTGGAATAATTGTCATAATATATATATTATATTATATTTCCTATAACGATAAGCAAATATATGGCGGAAGTTGCTTGGCTGTTGTGTCTAAATATTTGTAATGTTTAAAACATGTATAAATTGTTTTAAATAATGTTCTTGGCATATTTCTAAATTCTGTATTTTTTTTTTAAAATATATGTAATTTCATTTAAAATATGTGAAATATCATTGTATTTGTATATAAATTGTATACAAAAAGTACTCAAAATCTGATGTAAAAATATCAAATTTCGATGTAAAAAAGTTGAAATAAGCTAATTTTAAGGTGATTTTTTGAATGTTAAAAAAACTGAATGCGCCAGAACATACACTATCTATCTACTTATCAATGACACCAAACCACGACTAACCAGAGCTGAACGTCGCACCGCGGACAAACGAGCCTGGTATAAACGGAAAAAGTAATCACCATGAACAATCCAACAAAAAAAAAATGTGTAAATAAATGTAAATAGTTTTTTTTCTTCCTCCTTTTCCTACTAAAGGAAAAAATCATCACAAAAAAAAAGGGGACAATGTAACGAACACGAAATATATACATGACGCGCTATCTAACCAAAAACACGACACAGTACAACAGCCGCTCATCAGTGGCGATAGAGTGCGCACTTTCCCGAGGGAAGACTGCGCACCAATACCAACCACATAGGCGGCCATGCAAAAACATATCGATTCTGCACGCGCGGTCGACCGGCAAACTACATATAAGGGAGCCCGGCCGACACAACAAATTGTCTTGTGTAGCTCCAGCAGTAACTGGCTAATATCACCACGGTTCTCGGCCACCTTTTGGAAGGCTAAAACCAACGGAAATATTCGGCCTAGACTGCTAGGGCTATCCGCTGCGCAAATACGGGTCAGAGCGTGCAGAGTAACTGCCGCCGCTGTCGTTTATTCGTCTTTTTGTTTCTTTTCCGCGCACCACGCTCTCGGCCACCCTCCGTGGGTAGGTTAGAACGTGCCGATCGTAATTACCGCCGCCGTAATTCTACAGCCGCCGTAATTCTACCGCCGTCGTTTATTCGTCCTTTTTGTTTCTTTTCCGCGCACCACGCTCTCGGCCACCCTCCGTGGGTAGGTTAGAACGTGCCGATCGTAATTACCGCCGCCGTAATTCTACAGCCGCCGTAATTCTACCGCCGCCGTAATTCTACTGCCGACCATAATTCTACCACCGTCGTAATTCTACGGCCGATCGTAATTCTACAGTTGCCGTAATTCCACCGTCGTCATAATCTTACTGCCGCCGTAATTGTACCAGCGTTCTTTTTAGACACGGACAGGACGTGCCACGAACTCGCCGCCGCCGTAATCTATTTTAATCGTTCTATCGCCGCCGTATTATTACCGCCGCGACATTACGAACACGGAGCTTATCGGAAACGACAGTAATCGTTTCCGCTGAGACTTATTGCCACCACCACCCGCAGTACCATCATCGGTATAATCGCAATATCACCACTATCTTACTGTAATTATATATTGAGACTATAAAACTACAGAGCCGTGAGTACCTACGAATTTATAATCGTGAATGGGAATATCATATGTAAAACCGCGAATTTTATTATATTCTTAACGTATACGTACGAAAACGTATACGTCATAAATAAATGAGTATTCAGTTTATATTACTAATTATCATCTTTTTGTATTATATAATTAATATATTTGTGTTCAATAAAGATTAACATGATTACCAAAATCCATGCATTGTGATTTAATAAATATTTGTATAGGAATAGGCTCAAAAAAACCTACCCGTAACAACTGGCGCCCAACAAGTTGGACTCGATCTCCACGACCACGAAAATAAGAACTCGCTCTCTACCGACTGAGAAAATAAATCTACATCTATAAGTTTTACATAATTAATACAAAATGCCGAGAAAAAAGAAAAATGAAGACTTAAGTGAAGACTGGGAAAGAAGAATGATAGAAATAGAAATACAAATAAAAGAACAAACGAAAAAGATAGAAAAACAGAAAAAGGAAATACAAGCTATTAAAGAAGAACATAAAGAAGACATACAATACTTAAAAATACAATGGGAAGAAATACACATTAAAAAAATACAGGAAACAGAAGAAAAATATAAATCAACAATTGAAGAAATGGAAAACCGATATATAACAACATTCCGAAATTTGGGAGACGACTACAATCAAAACACACAAAATAAAAAGGAAGAAGTCTGCAGGGGACCACTTACAGACATTACAAAACCGTTATTCTATGGCAACCGGAGAGACATGCACCCCATAGATTTTCTAAATAGATTAAATGAATATTTTACATTAAAACAAATTATGTATACGGACGAAAAATTAATTATTGCAGGGGACTGTCTAAAATCGACAGCAAGTAGCTGGTTTGCTACCATACGGTTCCAAATAACAAATTTCCAAGAGTTCCAAGACGCATTCAAAGATGAGTATTGGTCGCGGGACATACAAATGCAGACATGGAGTCAATGCTTAGGAGTGAAACAAATACCGAATGAATCCAATTATCGGGAACATTTCTCATATTGGGCCACAAAATTAAGACATCTAGAAGTACCAAGGCTGTCTGAACAAGAAATTGTGAGTAATATTGCCGGACATTATCCTGGATATTTAAGGGCAATTTTAATTTCGCTACCCGAATGCACCATATTAAACGCAATGAAATTATTGGGTGCAGAAGAACACCGAAGAACAACGGAGAGAGAAAATAATAATTATAATAACAGACCACACCAAAATAGGGACAATAATAATAATAATCAGAATAGGAACAGAGAAGACCCACCACGAAGAGAGGGCAATTGGCGATCAAGGGGAAGAAACGAACCAACAAGAGAGTACCAAACTCCGAGAAACACACAAGAATCGGGTAACACACAATGGCGAGATAGACAAGCAATTAATCAAATTAGCACCACCGAAGATAGACAGGAAGATACTGAGGATGGAGAACATACTAATCATACAATTAATAATATACAAACAAACCATGGGTCAATGAGTCCATATATGAAATGTATAGTCGAAGAAGAGACAATCGAAGCACTAATCGACACCGGAGCGACTATCAGTGTCATCAATAAAGAACTGGCGGACCAAATATTAAGAACAAATGCCGAGATACCTATATTACCAATCAGCAGCGTACAAATTAGTAACGCAGTGGGACGGAAAATATGTAAAGTGTCCAAACAACTATTTTGCAGCTGCACAATAGGGGACAAGCAACTATTTATTAATTTTATACAAGTAGAAAATCTCAATGAACGAGCCATTATAGGTGCTGATGTCCTAAATCAATATAATGCACATATTAATTTCACAAACAAGACTATTAAATGGTCAATTGAAGGGGAACAACAAATCACGCCATTCTCCGAAAATCCAGCAATACAAGGTAAACAAATCACGACCATCGAAACTATGGAAGAACCCATAACCAACATCACACTAAGCCCACAGGAAGATGAGAAATTTAAACAATTACTACAAGACTATCAACACATATTCTCGGACAATCCCGGACTTATAAAGGAATACGAATGCCAAATCCAAGTAAGTCCCGGGGAACCAGTATATCAACGGCCTTACCCTATACCTATATCACGTCTAAGCAAAATGGACAAGGAAATACAACGGATGCTGGACCTTGGCATAATAGAAAAATCTGATTCACCATGGTCTTCGCCGATCATTGGGGTAGAGAAAAAGAATGGGGACATCCGACTTTGCATAGATGCAAGACAAATCAACAAACGAATAATACCAAACAGAGAATGCCCTATGAATATGGAGGAGATTATGTTAAAATTCCAAGGAGCCAAATACCTAAGTACTATCGACTTAACTGCAGGCTACTGGCAGTGCCGGTTGAAAAAAGAAAGTCGACCTATTACAGCATTTTTACATCGAGGGCGGAACTATCAGTTCAAAGTTTTACCGTTCGGGCTCGTCAATTCCGTAGCGGAGTTTCAAAAAATTTTGGATCAGGTCTTGGGACCAGAGATACTGGAATTCACTGCTACCTACGTAGATGACATACATATTACATCAGCAACATTCGAAGAACACATAAGTCATTTAACAGCCATTTTCAGGCAGTTTGAAAAGCACAACGTCACAGTAAACATACACAAATCACAATTTTTACAAAAGAAGATCACTTTCCTCGGGCACATAATATCGGAAGAAGGTATCAGTATGGACCCGGAAAAAATAAGGACGATACAAGAATTTCCAGCACCGAAAAATCAAAAACAAGTCCGTGCATTTTTGGGCTTCATCAACTTTTATCGGAAATATATCCGAGACCTATCAGCACTCACCGGTAAGCTGAGCCAATTGACAAAAAAGGACCAAGTATAGGCATGGAATCCAGAACAGCAAGAGGTATTCGACAAAATTAAAAAGAACTTTTTAGAGGATATTATTATCAAGTACCCAGACTTCAACAAACCATTTTATATGGCGACAGATGCTTCCAGCACACATATTGGGGCAGAACTATACCAGATAGACGATAATGGGCAACATCGAACTATTGGATTCATCAGCAGAACATTGCAGGAAACCGAAAGAAAGTATTACACTACCGAACGGGAACTTTTAGCCATTGTATTTGGATGCAAAAAATACCGAAACTACATCCTAGGGCACACCACATATTTGCTAACAGACCACCAGGCATTAACATTCCTAAACACCTGTAGACTACTGAATGCAAGACTAATGCGATGGTCAATACAAATACAGGAATTTCATCTCAACATACAATTCATATCCGGTAAGGATAATATTGGTGCCGATATGCTGACAAGGTACAACCAATCGGTGGAAAACCAAGTACCGACTCACCAACAGACATTTATTAATCAATTAATAATTGATCAATATAGCAAAGAATTCGTCAAACGGTTACAACAACTACCAGAACTACAACAAGCGGATCCGAAAATACAAAAAATCGTATCTCGCCTACCAACCGAACCACAATTGCCGTATAAACTACACCAGCAATTACTGTTCTACGTCGACAAAAAGGGAAAGAACCGACTCATGATTCCAGATCAACTAGCAGTGGAATTGGTCAAGGAAGCACATGAAAGATATGGACACAGTGGGGCGACAAAAATATACCAATTACTCAAACTGGATTGTCAACTTAGTCATATGTACAAGACCATCAAGAAAATCACACAGGCCTGTGATATATGCCAAAAGAGCAAGATATTCAACCAAATGGCTAGGGGACCAATGAAGAATAATATCCCAATGAAACCACGAGAAATGGTATCGCTAGATCTAGTCGGACCATTACCAACGGGACAACTTGGGGCAAAACACATACTTGTAATCATGGATGTCTTCGCGAAACATGTACAAGTATACCCGCTCAAGAAGGCCAGATCAGACAGCATAATAAATCGAATTGAAAAGCAATACATACCTCAATATGGAACGTTCAAAAAGATGCTCACAGATAACGGAACCCAATTCCATAGTCGTAGCTGGATAGAGAGTATGACAAGACTAGGAATTAAAATTGTACGAACAACCACATACAATCCTGAAGGGAACCCCGTAGAAAGGACCAACAGGGAAATTGGTCGGATTTTGAGAACCTATTGCCACAATAAACATACTAATTGGATATAGTATACGGATATAGTATATTTATCAACTAATATAAGTATTGGTAATATAACGATGGACCTTCGGAACGAGAGTAATCATGTTTTCAACATTAAGTTGGCCAAGATTATAGGATTGTATCAAATGTTGGATCCCGGAACCGTAAAATGTCGGGGTCGAAACATCTATCACATTGTCACGTCGTGCGCTTTGCTTTACATTTGTCTCATCTCGATGATTTTGATCCTCAGTGGTCTGTACTATTGGAATGTTAATATACCTATAAGAATGGATTATTTTTGGAAAGTATTGAAC